CCCCCACAAACATTTATGTAGTTATTTGCAGATTATCTCGGCCAATCAAAATAACAGAAAAAAGTAATTTGAATGTTATAATAGAAATCTTTTTACAACTACAGAGGAAGGAACTGGAGAACCAGAATAACACAGACACAAACACAGTGACATAGCAGCACATGCCTCTCATGCTTCCATTTGAATGTTTCAATACGTGTACGGACACTGCAGTAGAAAATTGTTAGAAACTAATTGTTGACCACATTTTTATCAGAATTGATCTACTTTCGGTATACGTTCCAAAATAAACCGGGCGTGTGGGATAGCTGTGGTAAGATGACCGTCAACTCGTCCCAGTAGTAATGGCGGTTCAGCTAAAGTGACAGAGACACAGTTTCATTGTAGAAATCTGTATCTTTCTGGGATTTGTTTTGATTCAGTCATGCTAAAAACATTAACTAGGATTCGTAATTTACGTCATAGTTGTAAGGTTAATGAATTGAGGGCTGTTGTTTGCCATCATAGTAGTTACAGCGGAACACGTGATGAACATCTCGTTAAACCAAGTAAGATCAGTCACAGAAAATGTGAGCTTTTTCTTTCTTCATTTATAAAAGGATTAACAGTCGCTGATTAATAGTTTATGATTCTTTGTTTTAGGATCTCTATTAAGTAGACAAGAAGGAATACATGCCAAGGTATCTTTGAGTGTACAACAATCACCTTCACTTTTGATACCTAACAAAGCCAAATCACTTGTCCCCAGAATAGCAGGAATAACAGCTGGAATAGATGTGCATCATTACCCCTGGATTACCATATCTGATGCACATACTAAAAACAACATAGGAGACGAGGCATTGAATGGTGACATTATTGGCTATGATACCTTTGAAATGGACTCTAATACAATCCACTGTAGCAGTATCCTTAAAAAGAGAAAGCAAAAAATGAATAAGCACAAATATAAGAAAAGAAGAAAACGGGACAAGTTTAAGAGGCGTAACTTGGAAAATATTAAAGAAAGGAAACAGAAAGTAAGAGAAAGAGCAGATGAAAGAGCAAAGCAAGCAGCTGGATAAGTAGACTTGACTCTTATTTCTATAGTAGCATGTTAATCTTGCCTATACTTATGCTGGAAAAAATTCATAGAAAGAAAAATTAATATGTAATGCTAATACTAATACTTGTTTTCAAAGGACCAACTAATCCAAAAGCTACTACTTAATGATAATGGCTGTGTTCCTTGTCTGACACTTAAAGCTAATTTTAGAAACTTTTAGACCTCTCCTTATCATGGTGTACAAGATATTTACTTTTTGGCCTTTGGCCTCATGGGCTATACCCTCCTACACAAATGTTCTTAAAAAAAGTCTACCACCGAATTAATGACTGACACTTAAAGACCCATTGCCACTTAGCGTGATGCATCACAATAATTATTATTTGTTTACATTTTCAATTGTGCCACCACCGGAAAAACAATTCCAACCTTTTGAATAAACTCTTAAAAGAATGTAAAAGAATCATCATTGTGCCTTAGTGCTATGTCGGAAAAGGATTTAATATAAAGTTATTATTCAATATATGAATCTTTGAATTTCATGGACCACGAAATTCATCTGTGATTGCAGTGCATCGCAGTAAGTGGCAATGGGTCTTTAAACCTCTGCATAGGACTCAAGCTACTTGGGCTATTGACTAGCAGACTATTTTGGCTTTGGGTCTAAGTTAATTTGAATTTGCGCATTTAGAAGCATTACAGCTTTTTCTTTTCTCATCATAGATGTGGGTTTGTGGGGGGAAATGCCAGCCAGTTCATAAGAGCTGGCATAAAAAATAAATCACTTTTATTCAAGAGTCTAGTAGTTCTAGCGCTTTTGCACTAATTGCACTACCACTGCATTTAATATTCTATGCACAATGCTCAACTCACATGTTGATTTTTATGGAGGGAGGAAACAGGAGAACCTGGAGAAAACCCTAATAGCATAGGAGTGAACAACACTTCAAACAAACTCATTTCACATGTGGCAACCACAGGGCTCAAACCAGCAACCTGACCCATAGGACTCACAGCGGCCAAAAACAAACTCCACCCATGCTACCCATGGTTATTGCTTTTGTTGTTATGACTGTGGGTTTGTCCTGAGGACCATACTCATGACCGTGACAGTGGTGTTGGGAAGTGGCCTACTAAAACCACCTCACAGACAGACACTACTGAAGAGAGAAAGGGAGATCTTTGTTTTTACCAGACAAAATAAGTAAACAGTAGCGTTCCTTTCCTATTCCCTAGACAGAACAGAATCAAATCTTACAGTTTGTGTCTTTTCACCGAGCAATAGCTTTCTTTTGTTCCATGTTCGACCAGCTGTGGTTAGTTTCCATGGATACGATCTTTATTTGCATAATCGGTTCACGGCGGTTAGGCCTTTTCGCTTTTTGATCGACAGCTCTTACTCATTCAAACAAGCAAACTTCACACAGCATTTCTTCGCCTTGGAGATTCATTGGCAGTAGAAACGAAATTTAACTTTTAGAATCCATTATGGAACGGTCAAAACAACTCAAAAACGAAGAGAAAAGAACAGGCAACAGAAATATAATATACACCGTCGTAAACAATGGCTCGCTTCGTGACAGAGAGGTTCCAGAGGGATTCCGTACTGTTTTCATCGAAACTGGATACAGAAAGCCTGGTTTGTCGGCAAAAGGCTGCTTGATGAGTGTCTTTGAACGTAACAACGAAACCATAAACGTATGGAGTCATGTGATCGCACTAGTTTTGTTCTTGGTACGTTTCTACTATGTATTTCATCGCATTGAAATAGCCGGCCCTTGRTCCTATCCTTTAACGACCTTTGCCATCGGTATCGGTGCCTTGATGGCTATAAGTTCGACTGCACACCTCTTTAACTGTATCTCGCTATCTTATCATCATATTGGGTTTTATCTGGACTATGCTGCTATATGTGTGTACAGTTTCAGCGGCGCACAGGCCTTCTTCTTCTACTCACGACCTGCTAACACGAGTGTGTTTCTGCTCAAGTTGCCTAATGCCTTCATTTTCTTGACAGCATCAATGTCCATGATATGTACGTTTATCTGTTGTCTCTCAAGACAACAATGGAGAAAGAAAGGCCACATTATTCGTACTAGTTTATTTATTATTTATTTTGTGATTGTAACTTTTCCTTTTACATACCGTGTTGTAGAAGGAACGGTCGCGGGAGAACCCGACTCGGATTCGGTACATTATTTTATCAGGCACGTTATGACATATTTCATCAGTGCTACAGTTAATATGTTTAAGATACCAGAGAGACATTGCCCAGGACTTTTTGACTTTTTCGGTCAAAGTCATCACTTTTTGCATGTATTCGCTGCATTGGGCGCGTCTGATGCATTTACTGCTGTATATATAGATATGAAAAATCGTCACCATGTCTTGGTTGATAATACTCGGCCCGATTTTTTCAATACCTGGTTTATATTTCTTGTTGTCGTTGTTATTAATTTAGCCATCGTTTATTGGTTTGCAAAATCCCTTTTAAAAGAAGAAAGAAGAAAGACTTTATAAAGTATGCACCTTTTAAAAGATATTTTTAAAGCTGTTCTTACTAAAAACTGTTCTTACTGCATGATGGCAAGTGAAGTGAACTAGTTAATTTTGTCTTGCTGATAGTTACTACTGTCGCACTTGATAGATAGTAAAGTATTTATCATTAAAAAAATATTAAATATCGAATAAAACTGTGGAGAATGCTAGATATAGGTAAGGGGTAGTTAACCAAAACAGTTTTAATGTGCTTCTTCCCCCACTAGATGCAGTTGGCTAAACACATGTCAGTAGTAGCTTTGACGTCAATACAGTTTTACTTTACCATTAAAGATCGTATGTTTTAATATTCTGGCAGTGATTCAAATCAAATCCATGATACCCACAAGATGGTGTGACGCACGCCGATCTTGACAAGTTCCATTGATTTTYGTAAACTGGCTGTTGAATAATTTGCACTGAACAGTCACTTATACGCGCTGTTTTCACTTCGACCATTGTCAGCCCTGTAGCTCTCTGTGGCCAGTACAGGACGAACTATTGCTGGCGTAATAATGACATGCTGCGTGCAGCCAGGGTATATTATTTTTCACGCTAAAGTCTATTGTGAAGTGAGCCAGTAATCTGGTCAAGGCAAAGTATAGTGAGTATCAATTCAAACTAGCTACTTTTTTTTTTGCATTACCATCTTTTCGACAGACTAGGCCCCTATGATTCTTGGGGGAAATAATATAGAATTGATTGATGGTGAATGCTGCAGTACGCCATGCCCAGGAATATTCACTATGAAGAAGCTTTTTCTTTGTTAATAGTTTCTTTTAATTTTTTGTTTCAAACGTTTAGTTTAGTTTATTTCATTTCATTTTTTTCTGGGAGGCTTTTTAATGGAAGAAGCTTGAGATTACAGTAAATGTTTCGCATTACTTTACAAAGCAATAACCTGCTTTGATATTATTTAATTCGTTCTAACGGTTTCGTTCAGGGGTCAAACTTACTGATTAAAATCAATTGAATAATTTAAACGATGGAAAAACGATTATCAGTGACGAAACAGGTGTGGATAAAAAGTGTTTTGTAAAGTGTATAAAGGTAAAATTAACAGGATCGATTAGTTGGCTGACATTACTAAACTGAGAATAAACAAATCGATAGCAGTGTCGTCAAATTCATCCAATGGGTCTGATAAACGTTGTTTTTTACAAAAACCACAAAGATATAGAACTACCGCGCTACCAGATGGTCCGCAAATGTAGATTAGCTGACTTGAGCTGGAAGTACTGATGATGAACGGATGACTGGAATCAATCACTCGGTCATCGCATGTAGCCCAGTCGTGATATTGAATATCATACATCCATGACGTCAGTCATTATCAACCACCACTTGCGTGTGAGTAACGCATTCAAATTAAGTACACTCTTGTCATAAAGCGCGCCAAATTGCCGGTCGAACGGCTACATGGTTTGGGATAGATGAACGCATTTAAATGTTGCTGCAAATCATTTAAAAGTCTAATTATGGAATCACATTGATAACAGGTAAATACATCACACAGTTGTTCTTGTTCTGGCTCAGTCACATGCAGTATAATATACACAATAAAGTTATGTTTCAGTGATAAAACTCTCTCGAGCACTTTGTTTTAATCTGGATATTACCACCGTCATCTTAGTTCTATCCTCATTTAGATTTAAATTTGTGACTGCATTGCATCATATATTGCTTGTTCGCTTTCTGTCTCATGTCATATCGTGCGCAAACACGGGCTCGTTGAAGGCCTTGAAGTTGTCAAGTTGCGTTACTTGGTTAATCAGAAGCGGCTATAGTACTGTACCGTGAGTTAGCGTGTCCCCTAGATTCTGACTTGCTCCGTAACATATATAGACATCTAACCTATACATTGTAGATATGCTTCACATGTCATAGTTTTTTTTTTTGGTTTTGTTATGTGTGTTTCCTTTTGCCATTTCGACTCTGCATCGGTCAAACAAGAAAGGAGTTGGGACCTATCAAATACATGTAAGTATAGAATGGCACCACGATATATGACAGTCATACAGACAGCGTTATTTTCAGTACTAGATGATACGTATGGACCTTTCGAAAATGCTTGAGATTTTCCTACGACCACTTACAACTGAACCAATTACCCCTCATTAGGAACTTAGCCATGAGACATTAAACTTTATTAAATTAACGTTGTTCGTTTTCCTGTCTATCGTAGTAAGATGATACTGTGGGTACCAAGAACTTGAGATTCAACAAGTAATTCAGGTATATATATTTATACTTTTGCATTTTGAAACAACTTTATTTTCGGAATTTTTTCCATTATTTGTTTACATAAGTTGACGGCCATAAGATTCCTTGGTTGTCAAATGAAATACTAAGACAGGGCAGACCCTACTGCATATCGGCAGATATCATGACAGCAATCCATTGTGGCAAGTAACTCATTTTGGATTTAATTGCTTAACCACTACATTTTGTGGAAAATATTACATTAGATATATGTATAAGCTAGTGTATACTACAACCTTTCTGAATATATATAGTATTAAAAGTTTGGATGGCTGACTCTGAAAATCATTGCGTTGGTACAGAAGTCCGACTAACTTCACAGATTCAGTTTTCCAAGATGCGCTAGAACAATTTACGTATCTGTAATCGACGCAAACTGAATAATAATGTTCGATTTGTTCCATTACAATTAAACCAGTAAACAGTTTGCACAATAGAAAATTAGCCAAGAGAAGGAATCTCTGGTATTCGTCTTGCTTGTAACCATCACAGGCACCGTTTAATGCTAATTTTTCATCACATTTGCAGTATGCGCGTGCAGTAAGACAAACGATTTGAATGATCCTAAAAAAAGCATAATTCATTCTGGGGACTCCTTCTTAGTTGATTTTTTCTTGGTTTGCACTTTTACCAAAACTACGAATATTTCAAACACTGGCCACTTACTGGGGTACCATACTGGCAACTAGTGGGTACTGACCACTTACTGGGGTACCATACTGGCAACTACTGGGTACTGACCACTTACTGGGGTACCATACTGGCAACTAGCGGGTACTGAGTACCACTTACTCGGGTAGCGAGTACCACTTACTTGTCAACTTATATGTTTTTTATTTCAAAGATCTTTTTCGATGGAAATGGCATGATGTCATCCAAAAGAAGAAAAAGTTTCGTTGATCTCGACTTTGGATCGGATGCAGGTGACCGCAGTGGGTCTAACAGTCCATCGCTTCTGCTGTCACCTCATTCAGGCGGATCCCAGGTAAGAATCTTAAGTTGCTAACTTTAGTCAAATGACAGGAACCAAGCTAAGAGAATATTGAATGATATTCTCTTGCCGGAACCATTTCTGTAAAATATGAAATATGCCGGGTAATTTCCTTTAAATGGACACCAAATATCACATTAATAATGGTGATTGCTTTGAACTCACACCGTGTTTGGGTTCAACAAAACAGCATCTGAATCATTTTCACAGGTTTTTACTTAAAATTCAATTCTATAGGAGATTAGGATTAACTATTTAACAATTATTCGCCGAAGGCGAAGTGATTATATATCTGTGAATATTTACCGTGCCGCGAGTCTTCGAGCATCAAGGTAAATATCCCCCATATTCACTGAGCCTGAGGGAAATAATTGTTTTAGTATTTTTGGACTTGAATATCAGAGAAAAGACGAAATTCAGGACAAAAAAAACTGTTTTATTATTACTTCCATTCTGACAAACTATAGGAAACCTCATAATCTCCGCTCGAACAGTGAATATCGTCTCAGAAAAACGGGTCGCTCGACCAATCACAGCGCAGGAACATCTATATTCAAGCCTAAAATTGTACTAATTACTGATGCGGACGCCCTTTGTTAAACCTGAAAAGGTCCCTGAAGTACCACATGATATGGCTTTATTTTTACTTTGACCTACTTTTCATCTTATTATATTAAAATACTAATTCGAAATGCCTCATTTCATAGGAACTTCCTTTGCATCGGTTAGATGAACACACATAATAGACTGTGCGCAGTAACGCGGCTGACTGCATTCATACAATAAGCCCAGCTATCAAATCCATATCAAAGTTGACTGATAATGAATGCAAATGTTTTGGCGGTGAAAAGGCAGCGCCTAATTTAATTGATTTAGGAAATTCCTTCGCTTGATCCTTCTTCATCACTGTTTTTATCAAACTTGCCTTGGTGCACGTGGTGTATCGTGTCAATACTTTAAAAACCTTCACTTAAACAAATACTTAACAAGTTTGAAAACTGTCAAATCAGTGTAAGCTGATTTCGAAGGGTAAATTCTGCTCATTTACTTGTGTTCACCGTTGCATAAACTGTAGAAGCAACCTAACGTAAGGTAAGGATTCAATGTTATCTGGTACCTCTGCACTAGTACTGACAACTCTAACACTTCTCAGATTTGGTAATTGTACTATCAGTCGTTAAAATTTGTTTATTTGATTCCAACATACAGTTACAACACGATTTAACGAGATTGCTTTCCGTGGTGCATATATTATGGTTAGCCAAGCAATACCTAAGCCATCTTACATGTTCTATTTGTTTTCTACGCATTTACCTGACAAATTATACAACCAATGTAGGCAGAGCAATAGTTATTTTAAAACTAGTGTTTGCGATAACGGTTAACTTTCCGTTAAATTCTTTACGAAATTGAAAGTATATTTACAACCACGATTCACTTGACTGACTGGTGTTATCATCTGATGGGCATGCAGATACTTGCTGATATGAAAGCTGAGTTGAGGCTTCTTCGTATGTTATTTACTTATGTACGACATTCAAGATCTCGAAACATGTTATCGTCCATTAGATAAGATAAATAGCGGTTTACCTGTGTTTGGAAGAGGGACAATGACATTTTCAAGTCATTCATATGGCAATACCAATCTAAATATTTTAGATTAAAATAAGCTCTCAAGTGTTCAAAACGGACTGTGAGGTAATAAGTAGACTATGATAAGTGGTTTATGATGGTTTATGGTACTATTACTTGTCATTCCTTCAGTATGTTACCAGATGATCGATTCGTGATGTGATCTCGCTCACTATCATTGATGCGTAAATACATGTAACTATGTATTAACTAAATTGATCTGTGTTAGCAGGACCTCTACTATCACCAAGCTGATGATGAAATGAGTAATCATGGAGATAGCCCTCCACGTGCGCCCCCTGTCAAGATAGAACTCAGAATAAAATCAGGTAAAACTTTGGCATTAAAATATCAAAGATCCATCCACACATCCACTCACCTATCCACCCACCCACCCATCCATCCATCCATCCACCCACCCATCCATCCACCCAT